ATGGATGCAGTTTTTTTGAATAGAGAAAATACAAAATCCACATGCAACCTAATTAGATTACATTCATTTTGTGCCCCCTTCGCCACATTTTAGTGGAGGCTGCTAATCAAATCTTGATTTATTTTATATTTTTAAGATTTAATTTACTACATCGAGATGGCTATAGATGTTGTATTGCCCCCATTATATTATATAATAATCATCTACTCATGCCTTTTTACCCCACAATATGATATACCTTTATTAATGGTGGGATTATATCATTCTTCATCAAAACTTGTGCACCCAGAGTCTCCAAATGATGTTGGCTGTAGCCACCGTAAGCTTCAGTGACTTATTCATGAATAGTTAAGCATCATCATTTCAATTGTGTTAATTCACTTTGATTCAGCCTTGCATTCTGTGCAGTAGTATAACTTGACTTTTGGAGAAATTGATTTATATTGTACTATTTTAAAGAAATACAGTGTTAAGTGATTGAGTCCTGGATAAAAGAGGTACTCTGCTCCTTAAGTGATATTCTTGACATTACTTATACATTGCTTATATGTCTATATCTATCTATATCTATATCATCTATATCTATAACTATATCTATATATCTTTAATATAGCTAATTTTCCTTCTCTTTCCCATCTCAGTTTTTCTTCTCTTTTCCTTCCTTACTTTTCTTTGCGGCTCCTCTGATATTAACATCTTTACTGGTTTACCCCCTATTGAAATCCAGAAGCTACTTTGGACTACCTGGTATATCAAAATACTTTTATTTCATAACAACAAAATCTCACACAAAACAAAAATTTAAAAAGGAGCTTGTGATGGTTAATGGGAAATGTGTTAGTAATTAGTCAAAATAAAGTAGCTCTTATACTAAAAGTGAATGAGTATTGCAGAATTCCTTGTAAAATTAATTACATTTATAATTATAAGAATGGGTCTTTGTAGACATAATTTTATATTTTCATTGTTTTGAAGTAGGGAGTTTTAGTGATGGAAACATTCTTAATTAGTAAGCATCAAATCTTTATTAAGTAGTCATTATTGTTGGTCTTATGATGAGAGGTAATCAAATGAGCTTAGAGAGAATTAGACTAGTATGGAAAGGTTTTATAATAGGAAAAACATTTCAGCTACAAAGAAGATGTATAGTTGCCCTCTTTCCACTATCTATTAATACATAGTTAGAGATGACTGTATTCTTGGTACCGTATTTTTCGGACCATAAGACGCTCCGGACCATAAGATGCACCAGTTTTTAGAGAAGGGAAATGAAGAAAAAAAGATTCTGAAACAAATAGTGTCCTAAAATATTTTATGTGCATTAAAACCCAACATCACAGTCATAAACACATGTAATCAACCCTGTAAAGTAAACAGCAGCATTTAGAACCATTTTAGAGCCGGGCAAGCACACAGAGACCACACAGAGCCGGGCAAGTAAAAAAACTTTTTTTTTAAAGTATATGTGTAGGCTATATTTGGACCATAAGACACAGGGACTTTTTCCGCCCACTTCTGGGGGGGAAAAAGTGCGTCTTATGGTCCGAAAAATACGGTATTTACTTTTGAATTAGGAAGATATTTTTTAAATAGATATCTCAGTGTTCAGAGAAGGCTAGGGAATTAAAGCACATTATGTCTAACAAAATATAGTAAACAAACAAAAAAGAAACCCACACTATTATATAAAAAACAAAACCTATTTGCCTTGGTAATTTAACTGACATCAGATAGTAGAATTATTTCCTTGTTTTCATATTTTGATGTTGATTGCAAGCTCTGTAAATCAGTCTTTTCAACAATAGATTTCCAAAATAATCACTTACATATTTATGGTATGTATATGTATTTAAAAATAAGCATGGAGGGACCTGGAGGGTATTATGCTAAATGAAATAAATCAGGAAGAGAAACACAAGTATCTCATAATCTCACTCATGTATGGAATATAATGAACAAAATAGACTGATGAACAAAAATAAGTCCAGAGACATGGAAGCTGGAACAGACTGTCTAACTCATTTGCCAGAACAAGAAAATTAAACTATACACATTTCATAATTAAACAGTGGTTAGATATATAGGTACTACTGATTACTAGAGCTTCATGGCTATAAATTATAAAGACACAGTGTTACTATTTCTGTTTTAAAGTTTAGTGTCTACATAGCAAGTGGGTCAAATATCCAAAATGGGTAATCATTGGCATTGTGCTTCAGACTTTAGATCTTAACAAATAAAAATGGAAAACATTTGGAAAGGATTAAAGAACAAAGAAACAAGGGGATGGAAAACAACCAATTCAGAAAATATGAAACAGTTGGTTTGCCCTAATTATAGCCATCTTGATTTTTCTTTTTTCTTCTGTATGTATCAGTTGGAGTTTCAGAAGAAAATTAACCCTTTACCTAATTATAGAAATAAATTTGGTGCAGATTTTCTAAAGTGACTGTATGCTTTTTCCTAAACTCAGATTTCAAAAGTAAGTTGCAGTTTGTATTGGCCACAATGCTTTTCTTTGATATGGTTCAGCAGTTTACTTTTCATTTTCTAAGACTGAATTTCTTATATCTACAATCATCTAAATGAGGGTGTGTTGACATAAATGAAAAGATCAAAGATTCAACTAATTGAAGAAGTTTCACATTTGAATTAGTCAGAGTTGTATGGAAATGTGGCTGAATCTAAGCAAATGTGAAACATTATGCATAATAATGATTTTGCAGATTGTTTATTGTTGCCAGTCAAGCACTAAAATAAGGTCTAAGACTTGACCCTTTTTTCCCCCCATGAATTTTCTCATAGCTAATAAAGATTATGGAAATTGGGACATTTTGATTTTCCAATAGAGATGAATTTATTGAGATGTAGATAACTTTATACCTAATTGATTACTTTTCATTCTTTTTCCACTTTTTATCACAAATACCTTCATTTATTCTGTATTCATATCACATAAAAAGTTACATATTTCTTTTGTAATAAACCTTTTAGAAAGAGTCATATCCATTGACTTTATTGACAGGTGTATATTATATGATCTCATTGGTACCTAACATGTTTATTTTTGCTTGTTATTTTAGAGTCATTAAACACAGACACATTAACTAAAAAAGAGAAAAAAGAACCAAAACTTTAAAAAATATATATATATTTTATTGATTTTTTTACAGAGAGGAAGAGAGAGGGATAGAGAGTTAGAAACATAAATGAGAGAGAATCATCGATCAGCTGCCTGTTGCACATCCCCCACTGGGGATGTGCCCGCAACCAAGGTACATGCCCTTGACCAGAATCCAACCTGGGACCTTTCAGTCTGCAGGCCAATGCTCTATCCACTGAGCCAAACCGGTTTCGGCAAGAACCGAAAATTTCAATGTCAAGGTCTTGTTGAAAGATTGTAGGGTTTTATATACATTACAGATTTGATAGCTTTCTCTGTTAATTTTTCTCTGTATTTACTTTTAGTCCTGAAATAATTATTGTACCTCAACTCCTACCCTTCAGATTCCTGGTCAAAGCACATTACTCATATTGTGGGTTTGATCTTTGTTTGGGTGCATATCGGAGGCAACCTATGGATGTTTTTCTCCCACATTGATGTTTCTCTCTCACTCTGCCTCTCTTTCTCTCTCCTCTCTCTCTCTCTCTCTCTCTCTCTCTCTCTCTCTCTCTCTCTCTCTCTCCCCCCCCCAAAATCTATTAAAACATACACACACACACACACACACACACACACACACACACACACCCTTTGCTGAGTATAAAAAAAAATGATTAACATTATTAAGGTTTAAGCTCATGAAATGGTAGGAAGGAGTGCAGATGATGCTATTATTTTGAAATATGAGTCATACTTTATATTATGTCTTAAATTATTTCAAAATCTCCAGGACATTAGAATAGAGACAGTATCTCCTTTTCCCTTGATTCCATTTCATTGGCTCCCCATTTCTTGTGTGTATTTTTTAATACTTTCCCAAAGATACTTTTTACATTGATTTTTAGAGAGAATGGAAGAGAAAGAGAAAGACAGAGAGCTATATCAATATGAGAGAAAGACATCCATTTGTTGCCTCCTGCATGAGCCCAAACCAGGGCTTGGGCCAAGGAGGAGCCTGCAACCAAAGTTCATGCCCTTTCCTGGAATTGAACCCGAAACCCTTTAGCCTACAGGCCTATACTCTATCCATTGAGCAAACTGTCCAGGGCAAGCACCCCGTTTTTTTGAGACCCTTTAGCCTACAGGCCTATACTCTATCCACTGAGCAAACTGTCCAGGGCAAGCACCCCGGTTTTTTTATGGTGAGAGGCCATAACAAGGGGAGTACATGAGAACTGCTTTTAAAATATGCATATATTTGGAACCCATCATCAGAAACTTGACTTTTTCGTAGGAGTGGAAAGTGTATTTGACAAATTTTTTCATTATTTCTGATGCCTCTGCATCATGTTCCAGCCAAATTTTCTCATTCTATCTCATGCCATTTCCTCCACTCATCTTCTGTTCTTCTCTAGCCATGCTAAACATAGGTATTTTATAAATAGTTTTATTCTGCATCTCTGTGCTTTTGCACATGTTGTTCCTACTCTCATGTTTTCTCCATTCTAAGTCCTAAATCTGTCAAAGAAATACTTATCTTTCTAGACTCTCTTCTAATGACATGTCTTTCCTTATTCCCCCATGTTGAAATAGACACTCGGCATTTAGCATATATATTTGATTACTTTTTTTTGGTGTCAATTTCTCCCATTAAATTCATGTAATTTATTTTGTTCATATTCATGTTAAATGACTATGGATTAGTAAATGGAAAGCCTGTTAGGAATTGAAATGTACAACTTTTTATGATCATTATTTTTAGGGTCCTTATTAAATAGAGGTTCATGATCAACCCCCAGCACCTAGGTAGATACTGTATATAACTTTATTTTTCATAATATATGGTACTATTAAAACATATATTTATTTCTTTTTCTTTACCCCCTTGTGTTTACAGGCGAAATCTCACAAAACTGTCCCTTATCTTCAGTCATATGCTGGCAGAAATCAAAGCAATCTTTCCCAATGGGCAATTTCAGGGAGATAATTTTCGTATCACGAAAGCAGATGCTGCCGAGTTCTGGAGAAAGTTTTTTGGAGACAAGTAAGTGAAAATCATTTTCTAGTTGGGTTCCATCTTTGACGAATGACCTAGTCCTTCCTCCATTTCCATATGGTATAGATTTTAGTAGTTTGAGAATGTACTTGAGTGTTTTTGATAAGTATTTTGATTGCTAATTTTTCTGCTCAGTGACCACAAGTGTACCTCAATAACTAAATAGTTTTATGTTATTACAGAGAAAATATCAGTTATACAGCATTTATTTCAAGATCATTCATAGAGTTAGTTTGCTCTAAGAAGAAGGCATATGTAAAACAGTTTCTGTACATGATATGCTCATAACATTTTATAATTTAGTAAACACACAGGACACATGTACAAAATAAGAGGCAAAAAAGATAGATAACTATGAAGATGGTGGTATTAATTGCTCTGACACTTTAGCAGGGAGCAGTTGCTTCAGAATTTCATAAGTCGGATGGCTTCCTAAAGGAGGTAGTGGTTAAGCTTGGTTAAGACCTTAAATTCAGGGGGGAGGAAGCCTTAGAACCTTGATTCAAGCTTTCTTTGTATCATTGCACAGAAAGGATATATGTGTAGTAAACAAGGAATATAAATAAATGTACTATTAGCTCAAAGTTGCATATATCATAAAATGGCCAGGTAAAGACTTTTCCTTTATGTACTTCCTGCTCAGAATCAGGTGAGTGTGGTAAAATAATAGGAATTATATGTTTGAAGCCAGCATAACTTAAAACTTACAAAATTTAAAAAAGAATTTGTTTGGAATTCCCAGTAGGTTGATCTGAACATCAGGAGGCACATGTTTTCTTCTGTAGCCTTTGAAGGGTCCCTTAGATGAGAATGCACATCAAAATGTCCTTGAATGTGGGCAGAACCCCAGCTGAGTATTCAGGAGGAAGAGACTGCTTACACATGGATTATTGCTTTCATCCTATAGTTAAAGGCCTATGTTTATACATTAACTGCGAAATGAGGCATATAAAATGCTGGTATATGCTTTTGGTGGTCTTAGTTCTCTGATGCTGGTGAATTAACTGTACTATTGTCTTTTTTTTTTTTTTTTCCTTTAGGAAGTGCTATGTTTATAGTTGCCACCATGATTAGAATATACTTACATAAAGCAAAGCACATTTTATTACTTACATAATTTTGGGGCTTTGAGATTGTGAAAGCCTTTTTCCCACTTCTTAAATACAGTATATTTTGCATTATTTTTTAGGCACTAATGGAGGAAATGCCATTATTGCCATTACTAGGGGCATTTTATATTCCAGATAGCTAGCTATTTGCAATGCTCTGATATCCAGTCACAAACGAGGAATTAAAAATGAAATGAGAATAACAGCAGGAGTGTATTAATTACAAGTTTGTGAATAGTAGAAAAGAGAAAGTTGTTGATGAGTTCTGAGATAAAGAACTGAGAGAATTTCTGGAAGTCACGGTTCAAATGTCAACACTGAGCCTAATGCAAATTGTTGGTAACCTTCAAAATAATTCTCATCTTAACATTTTAAGAAAATCTATAGGACAAATTGTGGTATTTCTTTTTGAAAACTGAAAATTTTAGTGAGTCATGAAATTACTTGTCGAAAGGTCAGTAAAAACTGGAAAGATTGCTCACACATTTTTCAAGAGAGGAGTTTGTTTTGTTGGCACCTTAAACCACAGAGCATTATGCAGTTGAGACATCTTTATTTCCCTTTATATATAGCCATAGACATCGAGGAGCTGAAGTTTCTGTTCAACTGCTACATGAGTGAAAGTGCTACTAAATCAACGGGATTCTTGAAATAACGATTAAATACTTTCTCTACCTCCCAAATCCTTGCACTTACATCTCCTGTCTTCACTTATTTAAGAAGCTGCTTAGTTTTTCTTTAACATTTTTACTTTTGGGATGAGGGCCAAATTTAAAACTCCTTCTGGAATTCAGGTATAGTTCTGTAGTCATCAAAATTAATGATTCTTTTAATAGATCATTGGAGAAACCATCTTAATATTCTCTGTGGGTTTTCAGCTTGTCGTTCCACAATATTTTATTGAATGCAAGTGAACAAATGAATGAATGATATAGTCTTTTAAAAGGTTGAATTCGTTTATCTTTCTTATGATCTGATACTATTATAGTTTGCATTTCACATAATTTAGTTCTTGCATGGAAGCATTCCTGTCATTTATCATTTATCCAGCTTTCCATTGAGGTCACATGAGAATTCTTTTATTTGCCCTAACTAGCACCTTTGAACTTAAAGCAGCATTTTTGTGCAATACAGAACCATTGAAGGTTTAGTTCCAAAAATCAGCCAAACAGATTATGATTTTTATAAAGCAGCTTTTAGCTTGAGTATTTTGTGAGTTTTTACTCCAAAAAGAACTATCCGTTAAGAACAAATTAAAATTGAATTAAAATTAGGAAAAAGCTATTTTTCAAAGGACATTGTAAAACTTCTATAGGAAATTTTAGGATTCAGACCTTATAAAAACAGGCAGCAAACATAAAATCTTTAGGTGTCATATGCCTAATGCTTACTTTCTCTGCTTCTCAATCTTTTTGAAGTCATGGTAGGGTTCATTTCACTGCTCAGGACCCACGCTCAGCTGTGAAGAGACCCGCCTGCTTGAGGTCCTGAGGGGATCAGTAGAACATGTTGTGTCAGGGTAAACTGGTTGGGGAGTTCTGTATTTGTTAGACTTTTATGCAAATGGATTGAATATTTTCATATTTGAGTTCTGCTTTTGCTTACTTAGTTGTTCTTTGATCCGGAGATAGTAGAAATATGTAGGAAAACAGAAGTGACATTACTAAATAAACTAGAGGCCTGGTGTACAACATTCATGCACTCAGGGGCGTCCCTCAACCAGACCTATGCCCTCTTGCAGTCTGGAGCCCTTGGGGGATGTCCCACTGATGGCTTAGGCCTGCTCCCCATGGGAAGCGGGCCAAAGCCATCAGTGGGACATCTTTAGTGCTACTGAGGATAGGAGGTAGAAGAGGCTCCTGCCACTGCGCTTGCCAGCCATGAACTTGGCTCAGGGCTTCTGGCTGAGCAGCACTCCTCCGTAGGAGGGCACTATCCAGCAGGGTCAGATCCTGTGTTGGGCATCTACCCCCATAGTGGTCAGTGCATGTTAGAGCCACTGGTCATTCCACCATTTGGTCGATTTGCATATTACCCTTTTATTATATAGTATGTGTCTAAGTAAATTCTGCAAAATGAATTCAATACAAAACTGAAGATTTGTAATGTGGATTAGTAATTTGTAATCTAGAAACTTTAGGCACGAAGTTTAAAAAAAATGTGTTACTAGCTTTTAAAGGAAGGACACATTAATGTATTACTCTGGGTGACATCATTTTTCTAAGCAGGTCAAATAGCAGTTACTGGGCTACTCCTACTAAGTACTTTGGACATTGAGGACATTCAGACATGAATTTCTAACCAAATTATAATTCAACAAGAAGCTTGGATTCTAACTCCTGAATATTTTTATATATCTTCTCTTTCCCATCTTTGCTTCAAGTTCTGTTCTTAAATTTCAAATTCACATTCTCTTCTGGCTTTGTGATGGGCCTTCCTGTCTTCAGTAACAACCTATCCAGTTGTTTCTCTTAGCGAGACCAATACCTTTCTACAAAATAGAACTAATCATTCTAATTTTGTTTTTCTGAAGTACCTCTACAAATCCTTATTGATTCTGGGTTAAAGTCTAAAATCCCATGAACATGATAAGCTTTAGGAACTACTTTTTTCCAACTTCAGCTTGTTGTACCCAGCTCATCCTCAAAGAAATAAACTATCCAGCACTCTACACTTATTTCCTAACTAGTGGCCCAGTGCACGAAATTTGTGCACTGGGGAGGAGGGGACAGTGTTCCTCAGCTTGGCCTTGCACCCTCTCCAATATGGGACCCCTTGAAGGATGTCTTACTGCTTGTTTACAGGGATCGGGCCTAAATCGGCAGTCGGACATCTCTCTCACAATCTGGGACTGCTGGCTCCAGTTGCTCACCTGCCTGCCTGCCTGCCTGATTGCCTCTAACCACTCTGCCTGCTGGCCTTCTTGCCCCCAACTGCCCCCTCACTGCTGGCCTGCTCACCCCCAACTGCCCTCCCCGCTGCCCTGCTCACTCCAAACTGCCCCACCCTGCTGTCCTGTTCACCTCCAACTGACCCCCACTGAAGGCCTGCTCACCCCTATGGCCCCCTGCTGGTCTGCTTACTCACAATGGCCCCACGCCCCACCAGCCTGATCTTCCACAACTGCCTTCCCATCCTGGTCTGGTCACCCCCCAGCGACCCAAGCTTCCAACCTCTCCCTTTTTATTTCTTCTTCAGCACGTCCTTGAGCGGAGGCCAGGGCCAGCTGGAAGCATATATCTGGGGTTTATTTATCTTCTATAATTGAAACTTTGTAGCCTTGAGCAGAGGCCAGGGCCAGCCAGGGTGGGCAGGAAGCTTGGCTTCCTCCATCACCTGGGCAGCCCAAGCCTCCTGCTTATTCCAGCTCCATGGTTGCAGCCATCTTGTTTGGGTTAATTTGTATACTCTCTCCTGATTGGCTGATGGGCATGGCTTGTGGGCATAGTGGAGGTATAGTCAGTTTGCATGTTTCTCTTTTATTAATGTAGATGTTGCCCCTTCCACCCCCCCCACCTGATTGTGTTTGTTTTTCCTTTTTGCATTTACTGGGTGGGAAACCAGTTTCCCATGATCTACCCATTGTTGCCACTTTGAAAGCTTTCCTTGACTATACTGATCTAAGGTGAACATACTTGCTCTATGCTTCCAGATACCTGTGCTCACATCTGTCATATTAGACCACAGTGAACTTCTGATATGTTTGCATTTCCCCATAGACTAGGAGGATTCCTTGAAGGCAGGAACGATGCCCTACTCATTCTATTTCTCAGAGCCTGGCACCTATCCTGGTATGTGTAGGCACTAATAAATATTATCAGACTATATAAATAATTGAATGGGCAGATGGATGGGTGATATCTATTTCTGATCAATATT